TCACAAGCGTGTCTGATGTAAAATCTCGCGTTTCTGGGGTAAAATTAGGGCTTCAAAAAATTATTAAGGTTTTGTATTACAAGTAGCACTCCATGTATTTTAGTTAAATGTTATAACACCATCTGCAATCATGTCGCTATGTCGTTATGTTGTCGAGGTGTAAGGACCTAACGACGAAGATTACAAAGGTTTGATTAAATTATAAGTGTTCTTTCTTAAAAAAATGGGTAAAAAAAGTCGTTAAACTCTTTACTTAGGCATAATGAAATGAAAATGTCTCATGTTTTTGATTTAGGATAGTAAATGTAGTCTATTGTAAACAGATTCTGTGAAAATCATTGACGTTTTAGCATTTCGTAAATATTTACTCTAATAAAGCAAGGATGTTATTTACAAATGAAGTAATTCATACACAAATTAATAAATAAAAGATGTTTACTGCATGTGTTTGCACAGGCTTATGCAATCCGAGGATACCTTTGGGAGAACTCGAGAGCAGATCAGTGCAAGCCCGAGACCGAATGTCTAGGGTTGCACATGCTCAAGAATTTTTACCCCAGACACACTTGCAAAAGCCAGTAAAAAAACGAAAAACATCTTTAATTTTTTTAAAAAAATAACAATAATGCGAAATAAAAACCGTTATAATATTCTTTTAACGTGTAGTCATGATCAATTTGCAAATTCTCTTTGATTGATTGATTGATTTGATTGGTTGAGCTTAGATCGTTTTCGCAAACTCATGCAAACACAGGTCTAAACCCATCAGCGCCCGTGCTTCGTTGTGTTTATTTTATAATATGAAATGATGTCAAGTTAACGATACTTTAACGTTACATAACAGTATATTTTCTGAATTACCAAAACTTTCTGAGAGATACCGTACTCATCTGGTTATGATTCTTCACTGATATATGTCATGAGAAAGATAAACACTTTATTTTAGCTGTAGTCTGTACTAAGAAAAAGTTCAAAAAAATGAAATGTTTTCACTAATAATTTATAATTTGCATTCATTGTACAATCATAAACATTGCAATTGAAGAAATGGTACTCTATGTTGTGCTTGATGTTTGATAAATCATAAATGATTAGAAACATAATAATTCATGAATGCAATATCTGACGTCATTTTCTAAAATCGTCATCCATTTTGAGTGAGACAAAATGATTCTTAATTTTATTTCGATATCATATTCCAAACATTTCTGATTCCTACAATGCATCAATTTATTGGTAAATCAATCTACAGGATTAACAAGTCCCAACGGAAAAACTAAATGTCAAGATTTACAATAGATTGATTTTAAGATTTCTTTTAATTACAAAGCTGTCGAGGTTTGCCTCTCCTTTGGAAACACATCATAAACTGATTTTATTAATTTTATTTTCATGCAATCGCGGTCATCTCTGGTTGGTGGGCAGTACAAGTGGCATGGTAGGTAGCAATTGCCAGCATTGTCTTGCGGAATCCACGCAATAACTTTATGTAACTTAAAAGAAAATCTTACGGCTTGATTTGTCAATTGTCAAAGATAATGTAATTCAGTAAATCATTTGATTTGTCAATAATATTTTATTCTTAGCAGAAATTAAACTTCATCATTTTACTTTTTATAGATTATGATAATATGTACATTTACTTTATATGATAATATGGTTGATTACAATTTGTTTACACGTAGTTTTGTATTACAGATACATTTCAACAATGGATAAAATGTCAAACACACAGCATTTTCTACATAAGCTTTCAAATTTTCCACGACACTTTTACGATCTTCGATTAGAATTAGGTTTTAGTGTATTTCTTTGACATGATTCCCCATCACTAGGATCTTTCCTTATAACCTATAAAATTTCATGAAATTTAACTCTTAGAAAAGCGCTTTCCTGCTTTCAGTCTATATCAAGGAATATAGGAAAACCCTATTCATGATCTGAACGGAAAAAAATTTTGCAAATTTTGGCCAGTTTTAAATTTTGTCCTTAAATACTACTTGTGTTTGCCAAGTCTTACCATGATTAAATCAAAACGTTTCATCCATTGGCATAATCATAGTATTTTTCCTTGGTAGCAATAGAAAGATGAAACACGTCATTTTTTGCAATGAAAAGTAAAAGAACAAAATATAATCTTTCTCCCTGAAGTGTTTATGAAGGAAAACTTCATAAACACTTCAGTAGCAAGTCCCATCAAGCTACTCTGGCTGATTTTGCTCGTTTCTCAATAACATCTGGCCATATTGATGTAATGATGAATGCGAAAATGAAGGAAATATTGATGCAAGAGAAAGCACATGAAGAAAAGAACAAAGAAATTATGTTGATTCTTCTTGATGTGGCTCGCACTCAGGCAAGCAGTCGTTGGCATCCAGAGGAGGCGACAATGACAAGGACGGAAAATTAATTCAGATTGTAAATCTTTTTCCAATACATTCTCCTGTTCTCAAGCTGTGGCTGGACGATCACCGCCTAAGGCCATATAGTACAACATATACAAGGTCAGAGGCACAAAATGAGATGCATCATTTGCTGGCTCAATCTGTGAGGGATGAAATTTGTGCTGAATTAAGTCAGCCGGTGTATTTTCTGTGTCTGCAGACACTACACCTAATACTTTGAATCAAGACATGCTTATCGTCGCTGTAAAATATGTCAACCATATGAGCATCCCATGCGAGAGACGGCTTGAAATGAAAGAGAGCCTTGATAAAACCGATGCTGGAGCGGCTAAAGTTGTTATTAAATCTTTAATAGAAAATGAAATCGATATAGATATGCTTGCATTTCAAACATACGATTTCGCAACATCAATATCTGGATAACTAAATGGTGCTCAAAAAGTGTTGCAAGACATTTTAAAACGACAAGTGCCTTACATCCCTTGCCAGAGACATCGGTCTAATACATTCAACGAGCATTGTTGCAATTATAGCTCAATAAGTACATCAACGTACGGCGCTCTAGATTACGTATATGTGCTCTTTAGCAAAAGCACAAAAAGAAATAAAATTGTAGAAGAAAGTTGCAAAGATGTTGAAAACAATTTAAAGTTTCGAAACTTGTCAAAGACAAGATGGGTTTACAATTCTGAGTCCATTGATGCTGTCTGGAGAAGTTATGAGGTAATACCAAATGCTATTGTGAAAGTTATTAATGCTCGAGAAGTAGAATCAAAAGTAAAATCTAAAGGCGATGGAATAAAAAAGAAATTTCTTAGTTTTGACTTTCTTTTTGCTGTTATTTTCATGCAAATCATAATGACAAAACCAATCCCTAATCAAACAGCAGGAGGAGGGCTAAATATAATATATTCACTTAACCTGATTGATGCTACAGTAAAAAACCTTAGACAAATTCGAAGTGACGATAACGGATTAGACTCAGAGATAGAGGCAATGGTTGCATTTGTTACCAAAGTAGGAATAGACGTAATGGCAGAATACACACGTCATCATCGATCAAGAAAGTCACCCAAACGAATTGGTGAGCATTCCGAAATAACAACAGAAAAACCTTTAAAGATTTGTACCAAAAGAAATGTACTTGGTTCTAGACTCACTTATTACCGAGTAAACCAATATCATTAAAGTTTGCATAGACCAGATAAAACCTTTTGGAGAGAGCTTACAGCTGCCACTAGAAAGGCCGATGGCTGAATCAGTTCATGAAAAGTGTAGTCTTTTTCCACCGGCGGTATAAGATGTTGATGCAGAAATACTGCTGTCTGAGTTGGAAGTTTTTAATAACATTGTGTCGTCACAACTTAAATCAGAACCCAAATCCCTTTAAGACGTTGCTTTATTTGCCTTCAATCACAAAAAGTCTTTCCAATGGTGTGCTAGGCGTATCAACTATTGCTGACCGCTCCAGTGTCCGTTGCAAAAGATGAAAGGTTTTTCAGGAAGTATATGATTGTCAAAAACTGCTTGAGATGCACGAAGATAGATACGCGATTAAATGACTTAATCGATCTTGCATGTGAAAAAGACCCTACGGACAATGATGACTTAAATGTCATTTTAAAAAATTGGGCAACTACAAGGATGCAAAAAAATGACATTAAAGATTTAATAATAGGCTAAAGTGCGTTCTGTCACAAGAATACAATATGTATTACAAAAATATATAGCGAAAATCTGTTCAATCATCACAATATTTTATTGTTGAATAAGTACTAATCTATATGATCTGCAGGGCATCTTGTATCCTTGCAGGGCAATTTCATCCCCCACACACATTAAAAAGGCGCTAGTTTAACTCCTGTGCATAAGTTGTGAACCGGTTAACTTGCGAACTTTCCCCATTGGTTTCCCATTCAATCATTTCATTTTATTGCAATATGGCAAAACTACCCCATAACTTGTTGATAGAGGCAAAAAATAAAGAGTAAATAGTTGACTCATACTCTTCGTTTAAAACGCGGGAATCTTTATCGCATTTTTAAAATAACTGTCTTTTTAATTATTGAGAAATATGTTTCTGGTGCTCTCTAGGTATGGCTTTAGCTGAATCTTAACGGTCAGTTTAAAACGAATTTATAAATGAATTCTTAAGATAGACAGCAGGCCATTACAAGACATAAAATTACACTGCAGTGTAAATTTGGAGATGCTCCTTATTAATGTGCAAAAAAACTTTAATGGAGCATCATAAGCTACAGCATACAGCTTTAAATAGTTATAATGAATGTAAACAATCGTAACAAAACTGATAATTTAAGGATTATCATATTCCTCCAAGGAAAAGTTGGCCAATAGGCTGCCCATTTTCTCTGGTATTGTCGAATCTTTCTCTGGCAATCATAAAATTGGTTATGTTTAATTATGTACTCGTGGAACGAGTTGTGTTTATTTGGTTGATTTACGTCCGAAGCTGTGTATATACTTAATGAGGATCCTGAAATCATATTAAATGTTTAAATTCATCATTGAGGATCCGCCAAATAATTCAGTTTATCATCTTTGTATAAAAATGTAAATAATGTACATACAAACCTGAACATTGTACACCAGCATCTTTATGATGTGTACAATTATGCAATCCCCATCCTCTATGTGAACAACTCGAAATTTTATTTTCATTTCCTACACATTGAACGTCGTCTAACCATATTCTTCCACTGCCATAAGGAACATAACTTCCTTGTAAAGACATGTAAGCAAAGTCATAACCAAGTTGTCGACACACAACTTTAGCATCGTTTATATCCCAGCCATCATCACAAATTGTTCCCCATTCTCCATTGTAAAATACTTCTACACGACCTTTGCCAAAAGAAATTTCTGGTCCCCGAAGTCTAACAGAGTTGATAACTGATAAAAAAAGAAAATCAAGAGATAATGCAAAACAAAAGAAGTCTCAACTCCAAAATATATTCTAAGTTACATGTATACATATAAAGTATCCTAATATGTTAGATGCCATTGTAAAATCTTCTTAGGCGAAATTAATGAATTAAACTGGTAACAAAAAATTGATAAAAAAACTTACATGAGTACAATATCAAAACGTTTTAGACAAGTAGACACTATTTGACTTTCATGAGTCTAAATAATTTTTTATTTAGATCAGTCCTCATTTCTTTTTGTAATATAAATATCTTATTAACACTTTAACTTGCTAATGTTCCCATTAGTTTTCCATTCAATCATTTGATTTTATTGCATATGGCAACACTGCCCCATAACTTGTTGAAACAAGCAAAAAAATAAAAAGTAAATTGTTCACATAGACTCTTTGCTTACAACGTGGAAAACTATATCGTATTTTTAAAATAACTGTCTTTTTACTTATTCAGAAATACGTTTTTTGGGCTCTTTAGGCATGGCTTTAGCTGAACCTTAACGGTCAGTTAAAAACAAATTAAAAATGAATTCTTAAGATAGACAGCACGACATTAAAAGGCATAAAATTACACTCAGTGTTAATTTGGAGATGCTTCTGTTAAATATGCAAAAACAATTTTAATGAACCTTTATAAGCTACAGCCTACAGCTTTAAAAAGCTATAATGAATGTAAACAATAGTAAAAAAAACAGATAATTTAAGGATAATTACATTCCTCCACCTAAAATTTGGTCAATGGACAGCCCTTTTTCTCGAGTATTATCGAATCTTTCCATGGGCAATCATAAAATAGGTTATGTTTAATTATGTCCTCGTGGAACGAGTTGTGTTTATATTGTTAATTTACGTCCGAAGCTGTGTTTATACTTAAGGAATTTGTAAATATTGTTTCAGTATTTAAAAATCATATTAAATGTTTCGATTAATCATTGAAGATCCTTCAAATAATTCAGTTTATTATCTTTGTAAATAAATGTAAATAATGTAGAAACAAACCTGAACATTGTATACCAGCATCTTCATCATGTGTACAATTATGTGATCCCCATCCACTATGTGAACAACTCGAAATATTATTTTCATTTCCTACACAACGAACTTCGTCTAACCATATTCTTCCACTGCCATGTGGAACATTACCTCCTAGTAAAGCCCTGACAGCATAGTCATAACCAAGTTGTCGACAAACTACTTTAGTATCGTTTAAATCCCAGCCATCATCACAAATTGTTCCCCATTCTCCATTGTAAAATACATCCACACGACCTCTGCCAATCGAACTTTCTGGTCCCCAAATTCTAACAGAGTTGATAACTGATAAAAAAAGAAAATAAAGAGATATTGCAAAACATAGAAGTCTTCACTCCAAAATGTTCTAAGTTACATGTTTATATAGAAAGTATCCTGTTATGTTGGGTGCCAGTGTAAAATATTCTTGTGCGAAATTAATCATTTAAATTAGTAAAAAGCTTACATAAGTACAATATCAAAACGTTTTGGACCATCAGACACACTATTTGACTTTCATGAGTCGAAAAAAGTTTTTATTTAGACCATTCCTCATTTCTTTATGTAATATAAATAAGTTCTTAACCGTTTAACTTGCGAACTTTCCCCATTTGTTTCCCATTCAATCATTTCGTTTTATTGCAATATGGCAAAACTACCCCATAACTTGTTGATACAGGCAAGAAATAAAGAGTAAATAGTTCACTCGTACTCTTCGTTTAAAATGTGGGAATCTTTATCGCATTTTTAAAATAACTGTCTTTTTAATTATTGAGAAATATGTTTCTCGTGCTCTCTAGGTATGGCTTTAGCTAAATCTTAACGGTCAGTTAAAAACGAATTTAAAAATGAATTCTTAAGATAGACAGCACGCCATTACAAAACATAAAATTACACTGCAGTGTAAATTTGGAGATGCTCCTTATAATAGCTATAATGAATGTAAACAATCGTAACAAAACTGATAATTTAAGGATTATCATATTCCTTCAAGGAAAAGTTGGCCAATGGACTGCCCATTTTCTCTGGTAATGTGGAATCTTTCTCTGGGCAATCATAAAATTGGTTATATTTAATTATGTACTCTTGGAACAAGTTGTGCTTTTTTGGTTAATTTACGTCCGAAACAGTGTTTATACTTAAGGCATTTGTCAATATCTATTTCAGTATTATAAAATCATATTAAATGTTTCAATTAATCATTGAAGATCCCTCAAATAATTCAGTTTATCATCTTTGTATAAAAATGTAAATAATGTACATACAAACCTGAACATTGCACGCCAGCATCTTCATGATGTCTACAATTATGCAATCCCCATTCTCTATGTGAACAACTCGAAATATTATTTTCATTTCCTACACATTGAACGTCGTCTAACCATATTGTTCCACGGCCATAAGGAACATAACCTCCTAGTAAAGCCCTGAAATAATAGTCATAACCAAGTTGTCGACACACAACTTTAGCATCGTTTATATCCCAGCCATCATCACAAATTGTTCCCCATTCTCCATTGTAAAATACTTCTACACGACCTTTGCCTTTAGAACTTTCTGGTCCCCGAAGTCTAACAGAGTTGATAACTGATAAATAAAGAAAATCAAGAGATAATGCAAAACATAGAAGTCTCAACTCCGAAATATTCTAAGTTACATGTATACATATAAAGGATCCTAATATGTTATATGCCATTGTAAAATCTTCTTAGGCGAAATTAATGAATTAAACTAGTAACAAAAATTTGATAAAAAAACTTACATGAGTACAATATCAAAACGTTTTAGACAAGTAGACACTATTTGACTTTCATGAGTCTAAATAATTTTTTATTTAGATCAGTCCTCATTTCTTTTTGTAATATAAATATCTTATTAACACTTTAACTTGTTAATGTTCCCATTAGTTTTTCATTCAATCAGTTGATTTTATTGCCATATGGCAACACTGCCCCATAACTTGTTGAAACAAGCAAAAAAATAAAAAGTAAATTGTTCACATAGACTCTTCGCTTACAACGTGGAAAACTATATCGTATTTTTAAAATAACTGTCTTTTTACTTATTCAGAAATACGTTTTTGGTGCTCTCTAGGCATGGCTTTAGCTGAACCTTAACGGTCAGTTAAAAATAAATTAAAAATGAATTCTTAAGATAGACAGCACGACATTAAAAGGCATAAATTTACATTCAGTGTTAATTTGGAGATGTTTCTGTTAAATTTGCAAAAAAAATTTTAATGAACCTTTATAAGCTACAGCCTACAGCTTTAAAAAGCTATAATGAATGTAAACAATCGTAAAAAAAAAGATAATTCAAGGATTATTACATTCCTCCACGGAAAATTTGGTCAATGGACTGCCCTTTTTCTCGAGTATTATCGAATCTTTCTATGGGCAATCATAAAATAGGTTATGTTTAATTATGTCCTCGTGGAACGAGTTGTGTTTATATTGTTAATTTACGTCCGAAGCTGTGTTTATACTTAAGGAATTTGTCAATATTGTTTCAGTATTTGAAAATCATATTAAATGTTTTGATTAATCATTGAGGATAGTTCAAATAATTCAGCTTATTATCTTTGTAAATAAATGTAAATAATGTAGAAACAAACCTGAACATTGTATACCAGCATCTTCATCATGTGTACAATTATGTGATCCCCATCCACTATGTGAACAACTCGAAATATTATTTTCATTTCCTACACAACGAACTTCGTCTAACCATATTCTTCCACTGCCATGTGGAACATTACCTCCTAGTAAAGCCCTGCCAGCATCGTCATAACCAAGTTGTCGACAAACAACTTTAGCATCGTTTAAATCCCAGCCATCATCACAAATTGTTCCCCATTCTCCATTATAAAATACATCCACACGACCTCTGCCAATCGAACTTTCTGGTCCCCAAATTCTAACAGAGTTGATAACTGATAAAAAAAGAAAATAAAGAGATATTTCAAAACATAGAAGTCTTCACTCCAAAATATTCTAAGTTACATGTTTATATATAAAGTATCCTGTTATCTTGGGTGCCATTGTAAAATATTCTTGTGCGAAATTAATCATTTAAATTAGTAACAAAAATTTGATAAAAAAACTTACATAAGTACAATATCAAAACGTTTTGGAACATCAGACACACCATTTGACTTTCATGAGTCGAAAAAAATTTTTATTTTGACCAGTCCTCATTTCTTTATGTAATATAAATAAGTTCTTAACCCGTTAACTTGCGAACTTTCCCCATTGGTTTCCCATTCAATCATTTCATTTAATTGCAATATGGCAAAAGTACCCCATAACTTGTTGATACAGGCAAAAAACAAAGAGTAAATAGTTCAATCATACTCTTCGTTTAAAACGTGGGAATCTTTATTGCATTTTTAAAATAACTGTCGTTTTAATTATTGAGAAATATGTTTCTGGTGCATAAAATTACACTGCAGTGTAAATTTGGAGATGCTCTTTATTAATGTGCAAATGAATTTTAATGGAGCATCATAAGCTACAGCATAAAGCTTTAAATAGCTATAATGAATGTAAACAATCGTAACAAAACTGGTAAATTAAGGATTATCATATTCCTCCAAGGAGAAGTTGGCCAATGGACCAGGCGCGGATCTAGGATTTTTCAAACATCAGTCATAAAATGTCGAAGGCGCTCCGCACCTGGGGGTGTCTGAGGCATTCTCCCCTGAGAAATTTTGAATTTCAGAGCCTTGAAAATGCCATTTTCAGCGTTTTAGAGCAATACAAAATGTATTTGTGGGCATCGTTTTTGCGTAAAAACAACACATTTTGCTTACGTTTTTTTGAAAAAAAAAAAAATGAAGTGAACAATACTTGAATGTTTTGCCAAATATTTAGGCTCATTAGCATGTCTAGGAACGTAAAATTTATTTTACAATAATGCTATTCAAAAACAGATATAGCCTTTAAAAATTTCTACCAAGTTGTCAGGCATAGACCCCCCTAGAGACCCCCATTCAAACCTCTATGTAATGAGTTAAGTTAGAAATTTGGTACTACAAGTGACAGTTCATAGATCTAGAAAAGCTCAGACTTCAAGCAATGCAAGTTTGTTGTAACCCTTTACCCATCTCCACATCAGTGCCAGCAAATTCACCTTTTGAGAAAAAACTCAAAATTTTTTTCTGCCAAAGGTTAAGCAAAAATTATCAGAGTGAAAATTTGCAGTTAAGGACAGCTTAATGCCATAAATGTTTATTAGGCATTTCACTAGACTATCATGTCCTGTAAGTATATGCAAAGTGTGCTATATAGCAATCACTAGTAGCATTGTATTTGCAAATACAAACAGAATGTAACCAACATCTCTTTAATTATATAATTACATGAATGTTAAAATTGGTTCTTGTGTCATGCTTACTGGTTATGATAAATATCTTTTCTTATGATCAAAGCTTGTTTAAATGTACATCAGAAATAATTTAGTTTAGAAATTATAATGATCATCAGAAAAATACTTTGCTGTTTTGCCAAATTTCAAGGTTTATCTGCATACATAGTAAGACATTTTTACTTTATAGAAAATGCTTTTCATACATCAATAGCCCTTTGGAATTTATGGCAAACAATCTGGTATGAGCCGTAGATTAACACACCTTTACATCTCTACATGAGGTGTTCAGTTAGAAAAGGGGACAATATGTGACATGGGACAACATTTCATGTATGTGAAATACTAAGGTTTAATACCATTCCAGTCAAATTGTCAAAATAAAAATCACAGGTTATAGTAAACAGCTTCTCATGTAATCAATGTTAGTTTTCTCAAATCTTAAACAATATGTAGTATAACTGTCCAATGATTGAATGATCAATGATCATAAACTGAAAAGCCCCAAAAAAATTTGTTTATGATAAAGTAAATAATAGTATGGCGCCTTATGGCTACAGATTTTTTGTCCATTGAAGTATATTTGCAGGAATGTAGGATTTCGCTGCCGTATAACGGCCACGATTCCCCAAGCACTAAAGAAATCAAAGCTAAATGTCCTTCGTCAACAACAATTTTAGAAGCATCGATCTGCTTACCATACGCCATATTGACATAAATCGCATCACACACTCGCATAATTGACTTTGATATATTACATTCATGCATACACTTCACTTGTCCTTTACTTACGATTTTGGAAGTAAATTTCTGCTGATAAAACTCAAAACCATGTTGGCTTTCTTTTGAACATCAATGACTGAAATGTCGCTCGCGAGATCGTCTTTGCCAAGCATTTAAAATTTATCCATAAATTTCCACCCTCTTGAAAAAATTCACATTTTGGACAGCAGCATTCATGTCAATATATGAATTTGTAAAAGATTTCCATAAATTCCATCTGATTGTAGTTTAGTTTCTATCATGCTTATAAAAAAAATTACTATAAAACGATCAAACATTCAATTCAGACAGTGAGCTTGACTTAGTTAGTTCAGTTGGCTATCAGTCGAAATCCGTCAAACCAATCACAATAAAGCAAAAATTCAAATGAACCAATTGTAAGATAGCAATTGGACTCCCTTATACGTCCGGCCACCCTTATTATCAGTCGAGACCATTCCAGACTGTCCACTTATCTGGCTATTGACCAATAAAATAAGCGTTTTTGACGTTCATAGACTCCTTTATCCGTCGAACCAGTCAAGCCACCCCGCTTATCAGTCGGTTATTCCAGGTCAATTAAAATTCAACTGATCTGGTTACCAACGAGATATTCATTGGATTAGTCATTTGTTTTCAATAATAAATAATGCGGGATTTTTATCACGAAGTAAATGCGATAAGAAAATAAGAATAATTAATGAATTTTTAATTAATATGAATAGGCAATTTTTGAATTTCAAACATCAGTCGCGCGACGGATTTGACATACTCTAGATCCGCCCCTGCAATGGACTGCCCATTATCTCTGGTAATGTCGAATCTTTCTCTGGGCAATAATAACATTGGTTATGTTTAATTATGTACTCGTGGAACGAGTTGTGTTTATTTGGTTAATTTACGTCCGATGCTGTGTTTATACTTAAGGCATTTGTCAATATCTATTTCAGTATTATAAAATCATATTAAATGTTTAAATTCATCATTGAGGATCCCCCAAATAATTCAGTTTATCATCTTTCTATAAAAAGGTAAATAATGTACATACAAACCTGAACATTGTACACCAGCATCTTTATAATGTCTACAATTATGCAATCCCCATTCTCTATGTGAACAACTCGAAATATTACTTTCATTTCCTACACATTGAACGTCGTCTAACCATATTCTTCCTCTGCCACGTGGAATATTACCTCCTAGTAAAGCCCTGAAATAATAGTCATAACCAAGTTGTCGACACACAACTTTAGCATCGTTTATATCCCAGACATCATCACAAATTGTTCCCCATTCTCCATTGTAAAATACTTCTACACGACCTTTGCCTTTAGAACTTTCTGGTCCCCGAAGTCTAACAGAGTTGATAACTGATAAAAAAAAGAAAATCAAGAGATAATGCGAAACATAGAAGTCTCCACTCCGAAATATTCTACAGCCTACAGCTTTAAAAAGCTATAATGAATGTAAACAATCATAAAAAAACAGATAATTTAAGGATAATTACATTCCTCCACGGAAAATTTGGTCAATGGACTGCCCTTTTTCTCGAGTATTATCGAATCTTTCTATGGGCAATCATAAAATAGGTTATGTTTAATTATGTCCTCGTGGAACGAGTTGTGTTTATATTGTTAATTTACGTCCGAAGCTGTGTTTATACTTAAGGAATTTGTAAATATTGTTTCAGAATTTAAAAATCATATTAAATGTTTCGATTAATCATTGAAGATCCTTCAAATAATTCAGTTTATTATCTTTGTAAATAAATGTAAATAATGTAGAAACAAACCTGAACATTGTATACCAGCATCTTCATCATGTGTACAATTATGTGATCCCCATCCACTATGTGAACAACTAGAAATATTATTTTCATTTCCTACACAACGAACTTCGTCTAGCCATATTCTTCCACTGCCATGTGGAACATTACCTCCTAGTAAAGCCCTGACAGCATAGTCATAACCAAGTTGTCGACAAACTACTTTAGTATCGTTTAAATCCCAGCCATCATCACAAATTGTTCCCCATTCTCCATTGTAAAATACATCCACACGACCTCTGCCAATCGAACTTTCTGGTCCCCAAATTCTAACAGAGTTGATAACTGATAAAAAAAGAAAATAAAGAGATATTGCAAAACATAGAAGTCTTCACTCCAAAATATTCTAAGTTACATGTTTATATATAAAGTATCCTGTTATCTTGGGTTCCATTGTAAAATATTCTTGTGCGAAATTAATCATTTAAATTAGTAACAAAAATTTGATAAAAAAAACTTACATAAGTACAATATCAAAACGTTTTGAACCATCAGACACACCATTTGACTTTCATGAGTCGAAAAAAAAATTTTTATTTAGACCAGTCCTTATTTCTTTATGTAATATAAATAAGTTCTTAACCGGTTAACTTGCGAACTTTCCCCATTAGTTTCCCAATAAATCATTTCATTTTATTACAATATGGCAAAACTACCCCATCTTCATCAAAAGCGTGTAACTTTTTCAAAAGCAAATTGCTGCTTGCATTTTATGATTTAGTTTAACATGTAACTGATGGAATAAACTAAACTCTGTAAATATTTAAACTTCTCTTCTGTAGATATTTTATTTCTTAGTAAATTTTGTAATTGTTTTTGAACAAAAGCATGCCCTTGTGGAAATCAATCCCAGTTGACAAGGCCATTGTGTCAAAATAAAGATTTTCATTCATTCATTCATTCATTCATCATTGAGGATCCCCCAAATAATTCAGTTTATCATCTTTCTATAAAAAGGTAAATAATGTACATACAAACCTGAACATTGTACACCAGCATCTTCATAATGTTCACAATTATGGTTTCCCCATCCTCTATGTGAACAACTCGAAATAGTATTTTCATTTCCTACACAAGAAACATCATCCAACCATATTCTTCCACTGCCATAAGGAACATTACCTTGTAAAGCCCTGCCAGCATAGTCATAACCAAGTTGTCGACAAACAACTATAGCATCGTCTATATCCCAATCGTCATCACAAATTGTTCCCCATTCTCCATTGTAAAATACTTCTACACGACCTTCGCCAATAGAACTTTTTGGTCCCCGAAGTCTTACAGAGTTAATAACTGATAAAAAGAGAAAATAAAGAGATATTGCAAAACATAGAATTCTCAACTCCGAAATATTCTTAGTTACATGTATACATATAAAGTATCCTAATATGTTAGATGCCATTGTAAAATCTTCTAAGGCGAAATTAATGAATTAAGTTAGTAACACAAAATTGATAAAAAATATTACATGAGTACAGTAACAAAACGTTTTAGACAAGTAGACACTATTTGACTTTCATGAGTCTAAATAATTTTTTATTTAGATCAGTCCTCATTTCTTTTTGTAATATAAATATCTTATTAACACTTTAACTTGCGAATGTTCCCATTAGTTTTCCATTTAATCATTAGCTTTTATTCCCATATGGCAACACTGCCCCATAACTTGTTGAAACAAGCAAAAAAATAAAAAGTAAGTTGTTCACATAGACTCTTTGCTTACAAAGTGGAAAACTATATCGTATTTTTAAAATAACTGCCGTTTTACTTATTCAGAATACGTTGTTGGTGCTCTCTTGGCATGGCTTTAGCTGAACATTAACGGTCAGTTAAAAACAAATTAAAAATGAATTCTTAAGATAGACAGCATGACATTAAAAGACATAAAATTTCACTGCAGTGTTAATTTGGAGATACTTCTTTTTAATACGCAAAAAATTTTAATGGAGCTACATAAGCTACAGCCTACAGCTTTAAAAGCTATAATGAATGTAAAAATCGTAACAAAACATATAATATAAGGATTATCACATTCCTCCACGGAAAATTTGGTCAATAGGCGGTCCTTTTTCTCTGGTATTATTTAATATTTTTATGGGCATCGATAAAATAGGTTATGTTTAATTATGTCCTCGTGGAACGAGTTGTGTTTATATTGTTAATTTACGTCCGAAGCTGTGTTTATACTTAAGGAATTTGTAAATATTGTTTCAGTATTTAAAAATCATATTAAATGTTTCGATTAATCATTGAAGATCCTTCAAATAATTCAGTTTATTATCTTTGTAAATAAATGTAAATAATGTAGAAACAAACCTGAACATTGTATACCAGCATCTTCATCATGTGTACAATTATGTGATCCCCATCCACTATGTGAACAACTCGAAATATTATTTTCATTTCCTACACAACGAACTTCGTCTAACCATATTCTTCCACTGCCATGTGGAACATTACCTCCTAGTAAAGCCCTGACAGCATAGTCATAACCAAGTTGTCGACAAACTACTTTAGTATCGTTTAAATCCCAGCCATCATCACAAATTGTTCCCCATTCTCCATTGTAAAATACATCCACACGACCTCTGCCAATCGAACTTTCTGGTCCCCAAATTCTAACAGAGTTGATAACTGATAAAAAAAAGAAAATAAAGAGATATTGCAAAACATAGAAGTATTCACTCCAAAATATTCTAAGTTACATGTTTATATATAAAGTATCCTGTTATGTTGGGTGCCACTGTAAAATATTCTTGTGCGAAATTAATCATACAAATTAGTAACAAAAATTTGATAAAAAAAACTTACATAAGTACAATATCAAAACGTTTTGGACCATAAGACACACTATTTGACTTTCATGAGTCAAAAAAAAAATTTTTATTTAGACCAGTCCTTATTTCTTTATGTAATATAAATAAGTTCTTAACCGGTTAACTTGCGAGCTTTCCCCATTGGTTTCCCATTAAATCATTTCATTTTATTGCAATATGGCAAAACTACCCCATAACTTGTTGATACAGGCAAAAAATAAAGAGTAAATAGTTCACTCATACTCTTCGTTTAAAACATGGGAATCTTTATCGCATTTTTAAAATAACTGTCTTTTTAATTATTGAGAAATATGTTTCTGGTGCTCTCTAAGTATGGCTTTAGCTAAATCTTAACGGTCAGTTATAAACGAATTTAAAAATGAATTCTTAAGATAGACAGCACGCTATTACAAGACATTAAATTACACTGCAGTGTAAATTTGGAGATGCTCCTTATTATTGTGCAAAAAAATTTTAATGGAGCATCATAAGCTACAGCATACAGCTTTAAATAGCTATAATGAATGTAAACAATCGTAACAAAACTGATAATTTAAGGATTATCATATTCCTCCAAGGAAAAGTTGGCCAATGGACTGCCCATTTTCTCTGGTATTAACGAATCTTTCTCTGGGCAATTGTAAAATTGGTTATGGTTAATTATGTACTCGTGGAACGATTTGTGTTTATTTGGTTAATTTACGTCCGAAGCTGTGTTTATACTTAAGGCATTTTTCAATATCTATTTCTGTATTATAAAATCATATTAAATGTTTAAATTCATCAAAAGCGTGTCACTTTTTCAAAAGAAAATTGCTGCTTGCATTTTATGATTTAGTTTAACATGTAACTGATGGAATAAACTAAACTCTGTAAATATTTAAACTTCTCTTTTGTAGATAATTTATTTCTTAGTAAATTTTGTAATTGTTTTTGAACAAAAGCATGCCCTTGTGGAAATCAATCCCAGTTGACAAGGCTATTGTGTCAAAATAAAGATTTTCATTCATTCATTCATTCATTCATCATTGAGGATCCCCCAAATAATTCAGTTTATCATCTTTCTATAAAAAGGTAAATAATGTACATACAAACCTGAACATTGTACACCAGCATCTTCATAATGTTCACAATTATGGTTTCCCCATCCTCTATGTGAACAATTCGATATAATACTTTCATTTCCTACACAAGAAACATCATCCAACCATATTCTTCCACTGCCATAAGGAACATTACCTTGTAAAGCCCTGACAGCATTGTCATAACCAAGTTGTCGACAAACAACTATAGCATCGTCTATATCCCAATCGTCATCACAAATTGTTCCCCATTCTCCATTGTAAAATACTTCTACACGACCTTCGCCAATAGAACTTTTTGGTCCCCGAAGTCTTACAGAGTTAATAACTGTTAAAAAGAGAAAATACAGAGATATTGCAAAACATAGAATTCTCAACTCCGAAATATTCTTAGTTACATGTATACATATAAAGTATCCTAATATGTTAGATGCCATTGTAAAATCTTCTAAGGCGAAATTAATGAATTAAATTAGTAACACAAAATTGATAAAAAATATTACATGAGTACAATATCAAAACGTTTTAGACAAGTAGACACTATTTGACTTTCATGAGTCTAAATAATTTTATATTTAGATCAGTCCTCGTTTCTTTTTGTAATATAAATATCTTATTAACACTTTAACTTGCGAATGTTCCCATTAGTTTTCCATTTAATCATTAGCTTTTATTCCCATATGGCAACACTGCCCCATAACTTGTTGAAACAAGCAAAAAAATAAAAAGTAAGTTGTTCACATAGACTCTTTGCTTACAAAGTGGAAAACTATATCGTATTTTTAAAATAACTGCCGTTTTACTTATTCAGAATACGTTGTTGGTGCTCTCTTGGCATGGCTTTAGCTGAACATTAACGGTCAGTTAAAAACAAATTAAAAATGAATTCTTAAGATAGACAGCATGACATTAAAAGACATAAAATTTCACTGCAGTGTTAATTTGGAGATACTTCTTTTTAATACGCAAAAAAACTCTAATGGAGCTACATAAGCTAAAGCCTGCAGCTTTAAAAAGCCATAATTAATGTAAAAATCGTAACAAAACATATAATATAAGGATTATCACATTCCTCCACGGAAAATTTGGTCAATAGGCGGTCCTTTTTCTCTGGTATTATTTAATATTTTTATGGGCATAGATAAAATAGGTTATGTTTAATTATGTCCTCGTGGAACGAGTTGTGTTTATATTGTTAATTTACGTCCGAAGCTGTGTTTATACTTAAGGAATTTGTAAATATTGTTTCAGTATTTAAAAATCATATTAAATGTTTCGATTAATCATTGAAGATCCTTCAAATAATTCAGTTTATTATCTTTGTAAATAAATGTAAATAATGTAGAAACAAACCTGAACATTGTATACCAGCATCTTCATCATGTGTACAATTATGTGATCCCCATCCACTATGTGAACAACTCGAAATATTATTTTCATTTCCTACACAACGAACTTCGTCTAACCATATTCTTCCACTGCCATGTGGAACATTACCACCTAGTAAAGCCCTGACAGCATAGTCATAACCAAGTTGTCGACAAACTACTTTAGTATCGTTTAAATCCCAGCCATCATCACAAATTGTTCCCCATTCTTCATTGTAAAATACATCCACACGACCTCTGCCAATCGAACTTTCTGGTCCCCAAATTCTAACAGAGTTGATAACTGATAAAAAAGAAAATAAAGAGATATTGCAAAACATAGAAGTATTCACTCCAAAATATTCTAAGTTACATGTTTATATATAAAGTATCCTGTTATGTTGGGTGCCACTGTAAAATATTCTTGTGCGAAATTAATCATACAAATTAGTAACAAAAATTTGATAAAAAAAACTTACATAAGTACAATATCAAAACGTTTTGGACCATAAGACACACTATTTGACTTTCATGAGTCAAAAAAAAAATTTTTATTTAGACCAGTCCTTATTTCTTTATGTAATATAAATAAGTTCTTAACCGGTTAACTTGCGAGCTTTCCCCATTGGTTTCCCATTCAATCATTTCATTTTATTGCAATATGGCAAAACTACCCCATAACTTGTTGATACAGGCAAAAAATAAAGAGTAAATAGTTCACTCATACTCTTCGTTTAAAACATGGGAATCTTTATCGCATTTTTAAAATAACTGTCTTTTTAATTATTGAGAAATATGTTTCTGGTGCTCTCTAAGTATGGCTTTAGCTAAATCTTAACGGTCAGTTATAAACGAATTTAAAAATGAATTCTTAAGATAGACAGCACGCTATTACAAGACATTAAATTACACTGCAGTGTAAATTTGGAGATGCTCCTTATTATTGTGCAAAAAAATTTTAATGGAGCATCATAAGCTACAGCATACAGCTTTAAATAGCTATAATGAATGTAAACAATCGTAACAAAACTGATAATTTAAGGATTATCATATTCCTCCAAGGAAAAGTTGGCCAATGGACTGCCCATTTTCTCTGGTATTAACGAATCTTTCTCTGGGCAATTGTAAAATTGGTTATGGTTAATTATGTACTCGTGGAACGATTTGTGTTTATTTGGTTAATTTACGTCCGAAGCTGTGTTTATACTTAAGGCATTTTTCAATATCTATTTCTGTATTATAAAATCATATTAAATGTTTAAATTCATCAAAAGCGTGTCACTTTTTCAAAAGAAAATTGCTGCTTGCATTTTATGATTTAGTTTAACATGTAACTGATGGAATAAACTAAACTCTGTAAATATTTAAACTTCTCTTTTGTAGATAATTTATTTCTTAGTAAATTTTGTAATTGTTTTTGAACAAAAGCATGCCCTTGTGGAAATCAATCCCAGTTGACAAGGCTATTGTGTCAAAATAAAGATTTTCATTCATTCATTCATTCATTCATCATTGAGGATCCCCCAAATAATTCAGTTTATCATCTTTCTATAAAAAGGTAAATAATGTACATACAAACCTGAACATTGTACACCAGCATCTTCATAATGTTCACAATTATGGTTTCCCCATCCTCTATGTGAACAATTCGATATAATACTTTCATTTCCTACACAAGAAACATCATCCAACCATATTCTTCCACTGCCATAAGGAACATTACCTTGTAAAGCCCTGACAGCATTGTCATAACCAAGTTGTCGACAAACAACTATAGCATCGTCTATATCCCAATCGTCATCACAAATTGTTCCCCATTCTCCATTGTAAAATACTTCTACACGACCTTCGCCAATAGAACTTTTTGGTCCCCGAAGTCTTACAGAGTTAATAACTGATAAAAAGAGAAAATAAAGAGATATTGCAAAACATAGAATTCTCAACTCCGAAATATTCTTAGTTACATGTATACATATAAAGTATCCTAATATGTTAGATGCCATTGTAAAATCTTCTAAGGCGAAATTAATGAATTAAATTAGTAACACAAAATTGATAAAAAATATTACATGAGTACAATATCAAAACGTTTTAGACAAGTAGACACTATTTGACTTTCATGAGTCTAAATAATTTTATATTTAGATCAGTCCTCGTTTCTTTTTGTAATATAAATATCTTATTAACACTTTAACTTGCGAATGTTCCCATTAGTTTTCCATTCAATCATTTGATTTTATTCCCATATTGCAACACTGCCCCATAACTTGTTGAAACAAGCAAAAAAAAAAAATTAAATTGTTCACATAGACTCTTCGCTTACAAAGTGGAAAACTATATCGTATTTTTAAAATAACTGTCTTTTTACTTATTCAGAAATACGTTTTTGGTGCTCTCTTGGCATGGCTTTAGCTGAACATTAACGGTCAGTTAAAAACAAATTAAAAATGAATTCTTAAGATAGACAGCACGACATTAAAAGACATAAAATTTCACTGCAGTGTTAATTTGGAGATACTTCTTTTTAATATGCAAAAAAATTCTAATTGAGCTAGATAAGCTAAAGCCTGCAGCTTTAAAAAGCCATAATTAATGTAAAAATCGTAACAAAACATATAATATAAGGATTATCACATTCCTCCACGGAAAATTTGGTCAATAGGCGGTCCTTTTTCTCTGGTATTACTTAATATTTTTATGGGCATAGATATAATAGGTTATGTTTAATTATGTCCTTGTGGAACAAATTGTGTTTGTTTAGTTATAAATCCATACCCTGGCACGAGTTACATTCTCCTGAATATCCTTCCATACACGTGCAGTATAATGATCCATTAATATTACGATAGTAAGTGTTGGGTCCACATAAAGGAAGTCGAAAAGTGTTTGTCGCTATATAGAATAATAAAATTAAAAATAAAATCAAGTATGGATTTCAAAAGAAAACATGTTCTTTCTCAAAGAACACAATTTGTCATTCAGTATCCACTATGACGTACCCAGCTAGGAAATTTGTGATGTATCTTTGGTGTTCACGAATATCGTAAAAACAAAACAATTAAATAAATGTTGAAAATTTACAGAGTATGAACAAATTTGCTAGCTGTTCGGGATACTATAAAGGATGTATCTAAAGAAGTTAGATAATTAAAAAATGTTCAGGAAATTATCAATTGATCAATATTTCTAACAAAATGTGCCAAAGCTCATGTATTTTGGCATTGCCTTGTCTTGATTATTTAAAAGTAAAATGAATTAAGATTTAATCTCGAAAACCATGAGAGTACTTCGTAATTGCCTCACATTGAACTGCATGCAGAAAGAAAATGAAACTCTGTTTGAACTCTGTTTTGCAATGTACTAAATATTTAGAAGATTTGATAAATATTAAGCTCACTTCACAACATGCTCAAATTGGACGTTTTTGTCTTTCATTCTATTTTCATGAATTTTTTTCTTATTTAAAACTGATTACAAGCCAGAGTGATTGTTGAAATGATGTAAGAAACAATAAAGATATAAATTTAACACCCAACAAATTTGGCAAGAATAGACAAACGGCAAAAACATCCAGATTAGACACTTTGCACTTTGAACTTAATGTTTATCAAATTTTCTATAATTTTGGAAGGAAGAACAACCGTTTAATAAGGCATTGTAACTTTAAACTTTTTAACGTCTTTCAATTTTAAGTACATTAGCGTGAGAGTTTTTGCAATTCTTAGATTATTATGTGAATAAGTAAATATTTAACTACCGTTTGAGTCAGGAGTGATACTGTGTATAGCTACAGCCAAATCAAGATAACCGTTGTTTACAGGAAGAAAATATTTACGGCTCGTACGTTGATCTGTTGTGTTATGGACACTAACGACACTTCGTCCGACACTAGTTATGATATAAATGGAATCTTTAAATACTGCCATGGGAGATCCTGAAGTTCCAAAATCAATTACATCATGGGAGTAGTAATCACAAGAAAAAACATTTCCGTTTGAAACTCGCCAATAAATTTTCTCTTTAGCCATGTCAAGCGTTAGATCATGTGCTATTGACTGAAGTGAAACTGAAAGAATATGATGTTTATTTGCAGTCTTGTTCCATAACCATAAGAAACGTTCTGTACTTTCTGCCAAGAATAGATACCTTAATAAAAATATTTGTTTTGTACATTAGTTTTCTCTATACGTAATGAAATACATAAACAATAAACAGACTAATATATACATAAAAGGAAAGATAGAATATTTTTTTAGTTTAGACAAAGATGTTGTCAAAGTATTCAGAACTACTTTCATATAAAGACGGTTTAATGGAACATATTCATAAAATTTGATATTATAGCAACATAAAGCTATTGTAGCTAACAGGAAAAGATCATCTTTATCATTTGAAATCCCTCGTTTGAAAACCGAACTAAAATATATGAAGTAATTAAATATTGCATGTGATTCAGAGCATAATAAATGTAATATGTCATTTTTATTCACATAACTTCTGTAACAATTGGTATTGTTTGAGATTATTGTCGGAATGAGTAATGCTGTAGTTTGGAGTGGCTGCTGAATGAATTGTGTTGGTAATTGATAATGCTAAAAATTACCTGATGCGTGGAAATTTTGTTGGAATTGAAAATTTGGTGTTGGTAAATGATATGCACCATTTAATGTAGATATAAATTTAAGAAAGCTTTGTCATTTCAGGTTTAAGCTTTCTTAATTTTTCAGTTTCATCTTGCATGAAAAGTAGCAGCTCCTTGGATGGATCATCGTCTACAAATGTCTTGAAAAGAGCTATAGCTTCACAAACATTGTCTTTTGTTGATACTTTTTTTCAGTTTGTTTGGACAAACGATTTTTTACAACTATCTTAACCTTCTCTTTTTAATTGTCAAATTTCTTCATTGTTTTTATGAAAAATTAGAAAAAATTGATACTGGAGCTAGCGCTATTGTATCATTTGAAGATGATTATTCTATTGCCATGTCATGTTCGTGTTTTTAAGATTCTCTTGATTAGACAAGCTGCAAAAACTGCTTGAACACTATGGCCCTTACTTTATCCTTACTTTATCGAAAATGTTTGATGCAACTGGCAGTTTTAATTATCATCGCAGCATATTTGCATTCTCTTACACATTTCTTAAATGTATTACTCATTTGAGTAACAGTAAAGTCCATGTCTTCTTGTCGTTCATTTCACCTTGCCCCGAACTCTTTAAAAACTTTCTCGTATATACTAAAGTTCTTTTGGTTTTTTGTGTTCGTGAAAATTAATTTTTTCTTGTAATATGATAAAAATTAATGCCCAACATAAAGTTTTAATTTGAGCCATAGAAATAGACCAAAATTTGTAAAATGGAATTTATACCGACGTTTCGTCCTTACTCAAGACATATTCAGTCAAATTATAATTTATAATGAGATATTAAAACAAGATATTGTATTTACAAAAGGTGTTAAATTACGTATTAAGGAGGCGGTGCAAAATGGAATACATGATAAAGAAGTTGAGAAGTAAAATATACTGACGCTAAGAGAGGTTAAGTGCAATGGAACTTTCTTGAACGATGAGTGAAGACTTGTATTTATTAATTAGAAGGCTCTCATGAATGGAGAGTTCATAGGAATCGTTAGAAGAGGAAATTTTTAAATTTGTAAATTAATTATAACATATTCAGAAAGTTCTCGCTTCACAGGCTTTTCAGACAATTTCTTTTTAATCTCTAAAGTGATTATTATCTTCAGATTCATCATCAGTTGAGCAACTACAGATCTAACGTTTGCATCAATTACACTAAGAAACACTGCATGAACTAAAGGTATTGGAACGATTTTCCAATCCCGTGATTTGATTGGATGTGTGATTGGATTTATTGCAGGGTAGTGTGCAGACACTTAATTTGCAACTCTTGACTTTTCAATATACTCCGCCATTCAATGCAAGTTAAAAGAAGGCTTGAAAAACTATAAACTTGATATACTGATTTTTTTCTAAATTGCCACATTTTTTGAAAACTAAAATTCTTTTTTATATTTTTGATGTAACTACGTGGGAATGTGCGCAGTTTTTTTATCTTCAATAAAAAACGAAAGGTTGAAGTTTCTTACGTTCACCACCTTCGTGAATTTTTTAAAACTTTATTGCTATTTCGTATTGAGATTGTTGCACAGTATATGAAAGGGCACAGCAAAGCAACAAACAATGCTCCCAATCTGTTGAAATCTTTTGTGTAGGGCATATCTTATTAAGCATATGATTACCATGGAGGCCTCAAGCAAATTGCATTTTCTGCTAAAGAAAAGCCCTCTTAGGTGGCCAGCCGAAGCCAGTAATCTTATTAAATGTACAACAGCAAGTTGCACAGTGAAGTTGGACTACTTTTTTGTTTTTGGTTGTGGCAAACCAATATTCTGTGAGTATTTGACTAAAGTTTCATCGGTAAAATAATTATTTAATATTTATTGCTGTTTCTATCGGTCTGTTTTATTTTATTTAACGACTTCGTCAATTATAAACATTGATCAGTCCGTTGTTACATATTTCTCAAAGCTTTTTGGTTGCTCAACATAAATATCGCTGTCGATTTTTGCAATTTCAGGATCTGCATGTTATTTTCTACTGCATGTGTGCTGAATAATCACACGAGCTGAGCTCATCCTTTCAGTTGGTTTGAAATGCCTCATAGTCACGCAATAAAATATTGCGTGACTATGAGGCATTTTATTGAAAAGCCGTCGAAATATATGACGTTTGTTTCTTTATACACAAAAAAATACTTAATATTTGCTCCCTTGGGTAAAAGCGAGTTTTGTTTTCCCTCGAAAATCAATATTTTTTTTTATTCTTGTACCTCTAAATAACATGCCATAATACGGACTTCAAAAATTCAACTTTTCTATTAAATTAAAATGCCGTCTCTAATAATAAAAAATCTTACCTTACTTAAGAAAACCCTCCAATAGATTGACATTGATTACGCTTACAAGTAAATAAAAAAATTTCAATATCGCCTTACCCATGTTTTGAGTCAAATGCAATGCTGGAAAATTGTAAGCTTGGTTGAAGCCTCATAACACTTGTAATTTTCGTTTTCAAATGAATTTGGTAGATAATGTTCGTGGAGTCAATGTAAAAGATACGACGACCAATCCAGTCAACTGTAATATCATGAACAAAAACATTTTTCGCAAAAACTTCGTTTCTAGTTAAGTCAAAATTTCCCCGTTTGATGTCTTTGTCATCAATGTAGTAAAGCACATTCTCAACTACATCAATTTCTATGTCATTATATTTTGATGAATGGTCAAATTTATTCTTACTGGATCCATTAATAGTGCTGACATGAATATCTCCAGTAATAGAATCGACAGAGTATACTTTATCGAAGCTCATAATAATCAAATATGGCTTTGGATAAACATCTAAATAAATAATAAAAACTATAAGTAACAACGATGCGAGTGGATTCAAAAAATGCAAATTTTTATAGACTTTATGATCATAAAATTTTGTGAAAGACCAGAATAAGTATTTTCAGAAAGAATTTTTCACTGTAGAAATATTACTAATAACTGAAATTAGATTGGCTGCATAACTTCTACCTATTATTATTGAATATTGTTTTTGGTGCTATGAACAAGAAACTATGAAAATTTGTCAAATTCAATGAATATACCTTTGTAGAAACACATTTCTGTTTGCATTTGCATCATTTCTTTGTTGTATTGTTTTACTTCCTTGCATGCAGTTGTGTTATCGTCATTGCCATTTTTATCAACGCAAGTTTCCATCCATTCTTTCACGTTTTCTGTTAATGTCTCTAAGCTTTTCTTGCAGATTGATATGTCGTCATTACCATTTACTATTTGTACACTAATAGACAGTATTATAAGAGTCCCAAGAAAGACTTTTGTTGAGTTTGATATCATCTTTATTTCCTATTTGTTAGAAGATGGATGATTATTAATTTCTTTAAAGCTTTCGTAGCAAAACATTTACATTTTTTATGAAAGGCTTATCATCAATATAATCATATAATCAGTTTGTTTGTAACTTTTGGGGATGTATAAATCAAGTATTGATTTCTATAATTATGTAACATTTTAACTTCCTTCTCCAAAAGTATTTCCACGTTTGCTTTCAGAAAATTGATGATGATTGAATATTGTTGCAATAGATTAGGCAAATTGTTCATTATAACGACTCATGCTTACAACAATTCATATAAGTAGGTTTTACCAGCATAGAAAGTTTTTTGAATAAATAGATATAAGGTTTCTAGGAAACGAAAGCATAGAAAGAAATAATACATTTTAATGTCCACTATAAGGAAATGACGCAAATTATGAAATTCACCAAGAGCAGTTTACAAAAAATTTAAAATCGGTTGATTTCAAATTTGCTTTTGTTAACTCAGTTTACCAGATGAATGGGAAAAACGTATTGTTAACTAAGCCAGCAAAATTAAATGCAAAATAGTCTGTTGCTTAGTGTTTAATAGACTCGTTTGTCTCTGTAACTACATGCCGTCTAGTTACAGAAAGGGAGGCCCTTTAAGCAATACATGATATTCTGCTTTACAACATCTGTTAGTCGTATAAAGAAGTTCGACTCTCCTAATTATATAAGTTCTGAATTAAATGAAATTTATAAGCATTTTGACAGAGCTGCTAAAGTAAAGAAAGTCTAAAAGCTAAATAGAGGAATGCAACTTTGCAGTATTAAAAATTCCTACTTCTTCAAATATTTTGTTTCAATATTCTTGCAATATTGAATGATTGTTGCAGAAGAAGCAAGAAACATAGAACAAACAAGAACAAACAAGAGCCAAGAAATGTATCATTTGTTCTGCATGTACTTCTTGCTCTTTATAATGACTTCGGTATTGATGTTTGATGATGATTTACGCCATTTTAATTTGTTGATCTATGTACCTCTCTTTCTTTATCATTTCCTTCAATCATAAACTACAGTTTTAATGTCCAATCAAGTATTCTTTATCACATATGCATTCAAGTTTTAGCTTACTATTTCCTATGGCGTATCAATGTAATTATGATTTAATACAATTCCAGACATCCCTAATTATCAATTAGTATAACTTTATCGTTGGTTGTGATCAATCAATTCGTTTTTCTTTTCATCATAAGGATAAATATGAAATGATAAAGAGATTTGCGAAACGGTAAAATTTTTTAAAGAATTTTAGACTAGTCAAATTACCACATGGCAGCTATGTATATATATAATGCATGCTGCGCTACCCTAAATTACAGAAAATGCTTAAAAAAACATACAAAAATATTTCATAAAGCTTTAAGTATTTTATAAGATAAAGATTGTGTTAGATTATCTGTTGGATTACGTATAAGCATGACTATGATAAATGAAATGTATGTTCTTAATAAGGAAGTGAAATCCATAGGAGCTATTGTTCTTGCATTATGTTATAAACTCTGAATTTTAAGTTTTCTTTATGTTTTCTTTGCTTACCATTGAAGAGGAAATTTGGCTATCAATGAAATTTCTTCTTCGAATTCTGATAAGTTATTTTCTATCCTTCTCAAACAGCAGCTTAGAAAAAATGTAACTGAAACAAAACTTGTCGTGTCTGAAAGTGCTAGTAATATTGGCTTTTTGAATTTTGACATCAACACAAGACGAGTACTTTTCTGTGGACGGGGACACAAATTTTCATGATTTTTCATTATATTTTGGGATGAAGAGCCATAATTGCTGATATTTAGGGTCAGAAAAAATATGCAACAAAAATATTGTTTCAGCAAGTCCAAGAAATACCATTTACATTGAAAATAACAGACCAAATTATTTTAATTCCTTATAACAATACCCCGGGAAAAAAATGTTTATTTTCACGTTATTCAAATTGGTCAAGTATTTCAAGTGTCTCTGCAATCTAAAAGAAAAATATGCACTGCAGATGTTAGTTTCTGTTCATAGATAAGATACTAGAAGCCAAAAAAGAGCATTGTCTATAAACAACATTTGTTCAATTTTTAGAGTTCATTATATTATGTTTTATCCATTTACTACTTAACCCAACATGAAACTTTCTAAAGTACATCATTTTCAAACAAGGCTAGTTTCTTAGATGATTATCTTTATAGATGAACTATATACGTGACGGTGACACAAATTTTCATGATTTTTATATATATTTGGGATAAAGAACAATAATTGCAGAAATTTAGTGTCAGAAAAAATATGCAACAAAAATATTGTTTCAACAATTCCGAGAAATATCATTTAAATTGAAAATAACAGACCGAATTACTTTAATTTCAAATAAAAACACCCCGTGAAAAATATGTTTATGTGGACGTTATTCAAATTGGTCAACTATTTCAAGTGTCTCTATAAACTAAAAAAAAATGTGCACTGCAGATGTTAGTTTCCGTTAATAGATAAAATACTACAAAGCCAAATAAGGAGTATTGTCTAAAAGCAATTTTTGTTCAATTTTTATAGTTCATTATAATATGGTTTACCCCCTTTTTACTTAACCTAACAAGAAACTTTCTAAAGTATATCAAATTGAAACAAGGCTGGTTTCTTAGGTAATTATCTTTATACATCCCATTTGGCATGATTTTAATTTCTCATGTTTTTATTATATTTAATTCATTTCAACGTATTCATTCCCTTTCCTCTCTCAAAAATGCTGAAAATAAGGACAAAAAAGACACATTAATGTTGTAAACCCTCCCCCCTTAAACATTTTCAGAGCAAAATTTATGAATTACATTATTCATGATATACATGATATTCTGTTTACAACATCTGTCTGTCGTAAAGAGAAGCTCGACTCCATAATTATATAAGTTCTGAATTGAATGAAATTTCTGAGCATTTTGACAGAACTGTCAAAGTAAAAAAAGTCTGAAGAACTAAATATAAGAATGCAACTTTGCAATATTGAAAAATTCTTACATCTTCAAATATTTTGTTTCAGACAGTTAAAAAGCGTTTTCCATCTTCAAAAATGGTCTTGTAATATTGAATAATTTAGCAGAACAAACAAGTGCCAAGACATGTATCGTTTGTTCTGCATATATTTCTTTCTCTTTAAAATGGCTTCTGTATTTCTGTTTGATGATGATTTGCCCTATTTCAATTTGTTGAATTATGTACCTCTTTCTCTTGATTATTTCTCTCAATCCTAAATCTTAGTTTCAATGACTAATCAAATATTCTTTATCATACATGCATTCAAGTTTTAGTTTACCATCATTCTCATGTAAAAACGTAAAACACTTTGCAAAAATTTCATAATTCTTAAATGTCTATGATAGTTTAAAAAAATTTTTTTGTTATCTGTATTTAGACTAAAAATACTTAATGATTGTTGCTCTGAATATTTTTGATGTAGCTACTATTTCCTCTGGCGTATCAATGTAATTATGATTTAATACATTTCCAGACATTCCTAAATATCAATTAGTAGAACTTTATCGTTGGTTGTGATCAATCAATTCGTTTTTGTTTTCATCATAAGGATAAATATGAAATGATAAAGAGATTTGCGAAACGGTAAAATTTTTTAAAGAATTTTAGACTAGTCAAATTGCCAGATGGCAGCTATGTATATATGATGCATGCTGCGCTACCCTAAATTACAGAAAATGCTTAAAAAAACATACAAAAATGTTTCATAAAGCTTTAAGTATTTTATAAGATAAAGATTGTGTTAGATTAACTGTTGGATTACGTATAAGCATAACTATGATAAATGAAATGTATGTTCTTAATAAGGAAGTGAAATCCATAGGAGCTATTGTTCTTGCATTATGTTATAAACTCTGAATTTTAAGTTTTCTTTATGTTTTCTTTGCTTACCATTGAAGAGGAAATTTGGCTATCAATGAAATTTCTCCTTCGAATTCTGATAATTTATTTTCTATCCTTCTCCAACAGCAACTTAGAAAAAATGTAACTGAAACAAAACTTGTCGTGTCTTAAAGTGCTAGTAATATTGGCATTTTGAATTTTGACATCAACACAAGACGAGTACTTTTCTGTGGACGGGGACACAAAATTTTTGATGATTTTTCATTTTATTTTGGGATGAAGAGCCATAATTGCTGAAATTTAGTGTCAGAAAAAATATGCAACAAAAATATTGTTTCAGCAAGTCCAAGAAATACCATTTACATTGAAAATAACAGACCAAATTATTTTAATTCCTTATAACAATACCCCGGGAAAAAAATGTTTATTTTGACGTTATTCAAATTGGTCAACTATTTCAAGTGTCTCTACAATGTAAAAGAAAAATATGCACTGCAGATGTTAGTTTCTGTTCATAGATAAGATACTACAAGCCAAAATAAGTATTGTCTATAAGCAACTTTTGTTCAATTTTTAGAGTTCATTATAATATGGTTTACCCCTTTTTACTTAACCTAACATGAAACCTTTCCAAAGTACATTATATTCATACAAGGCTAGTTTCTTAGGTAATTATCGTTATACATCCCATTTCACATGATTTTAGTTTCTCATGTTTTTAATATAGTTAGATCATTTCAACCTATTCATTCCCTTTCCCCTCTCAAAAATGCAAAGAATAAGGACAAAAAAGACACATAAATGTTGTGACCCCCACCACCCCTCCCCCTCCGTAAACATTTTCAGAGCAAAATTTACATTTTCCACTTAAATTTTCATAACTTACAATCATCATACAGGAAAGTGGTTTTTCATTTTCACCGAATGCAGAAAATACAGATAAAACCTGCACAAACACCACGGTGGTAAACCACGGTGGTTTTATCAGGTGGTCACAAACACGGTGGTTTTATCACCACGTGGTGATAAAACACACACACGTTTTATCACCACGTTTTATCACCACGTGGTGATCACACGCACACACACGTTTTATCACCACGTTTTATCACCGTGGTTTTTTATATGCGAAAATACAGATTAAACTGCTCCTCATCGGTTCTTAGTTCTTGAACCAAGTGCAGAAAATCTCCTTGTACTCTCCTTTGCCTGTTTATTGACGAGCCCATCATCTTTTCATTTTATTATTTTTTCCCGTTTTTCAACCTCTTCCAGCTCGTACAATATGCAAACAGATGCTAGTAACTTAGCCTGATGACTAGACGCCATGTTGATAGTCGCAATGTGGTCGCCATACTCGTTTTTGCATGTGTGTTTCTGACGTTCAAGCGACTAACGCGCGCATCAATTCGCTTTAGTCCCGCGACCAAAGCGACTGCACAGTGTGTTTCAGTGTGTTGTAAATTATGTTAGCGAGTATGGGGGCTAAGGAGGAGTACATTGAAGCCCCCCCATCGGTTTGTTTAAAAAATTTCATTGTCGAAAGAAAAAGCGCTTTTAATGCAACAGTCAATAATAAGTTTTTTAAGAGTTCTTTCCTCAAGTTTAGTTAAAATTTGATTTTCTCAAAAATTTCTTTCCAAAATTATTTTTATTGCTCTGTTCAAAGGCACGTTGGTAAATAAAGATTCGACGTCAAACGAAACGAATTGATAGCCTTCAATAAATTTTTAGGAATAATGTGGATAGAGTTTACGGCAACGAACGAATCGTTAAGAGTAAATTCATTAGAAGCGAGAGGATTGAGTAGTGTTGAGAGAATATTTCCTGGGTTATAGTGTGGTATGTTAGTACCACCCACTTCACACTTCCGTTGGAATGATGTGACATTCATATCAGTAGAGCGTCAGTTCTCTTGTAAATATAGTCTTGACGATGAACGTGTAACAAATTCAAAGTATAATTATTCAAATAAAAAATTGTCTTGTTTTCTTCCCAAATATTGAGTTAAAAATGAACTTTTTGTTCGGAGTAAGCTTTATTTTTTTTATTATATCGTTACTTTGCGTGCGTTTTTGTTTATAACCGACCCCCGCGATCCCGACCATCACGATCCCGAACGTCACGATCCCTTTCTCGGCGACGATCATGTCTATCGCGATCTCTATCACGGCCACGGTCTCGTTCACGATCACGCCTTGAACGGTCACGATATTCACCACCACGATCACGTTCATCTCGCTCGCGATCCCTAAAAAAATAGTAAAATCCATTTTGGAAATTTGACAATAATATAAATTGAATTTAAAATATTCGGGACTGCTGGTTTTTAGTTTTCCTAAGGTTCCGTACAAGTTGCACATGTTGAAATGCAAATGTCAATACTTGTCTACTTAAAATTTTAATGAAATGAAACACGTGGTTTTCATAATAATTGCATAGTACAAACATTGAAAAGCGAAAATTTTAACGGTTAAAAAAATTCTTTCCTTTAGAATACCACATTACCCGACCAGTAACTTTAAAAACCAGCCTGAAGTAAAGACTGCAAAATCCATAGAGCAATGGAAAGTTGGAGCAATCTAATTGCGCCAGAATAAAAGTTCCACATACGCTCTGACTGGTGAACCCCTTGTAAACCAAGCACATAATCAATGCTACTTCGCGAGTGTAAAATGGTAGCTATTAAACAGCCGATAAATTCCGTTCTAGATCGCAATTTTAAAATGCCCAAGAGGAATTTGAAGAAAAAGTGTTGCTTTATATGAATCTTTGCTTTTTATATTTATTTACTCAAAAACGTAGCTCACCAAAGGCTTCAAACAAAGTGCAAATTTCTCAATCCTTTTGTTTACATTTTCGCGTTTTGCGAGTTCTGATTGGCTAATTTTTAAAACGTAAACTAACCTATGATTGGCTCAGAACGAAACTCCCCCTTGTTCGTATATTGTAAACGTTTGGTAATATTCTTCAAAAATCGATGCAATTTGCAATTAAGGTCTAAACGACAGTTAAGATCTTAAATCTAAATGACAGTTATTACATTTGTCGCCCCGCATAAACAAAAGAAATTTTTAAGTACTCTCTGCGACACAATTGGAACATTAATTTAAACAAACAGAACATCCGTAACATCGGCGAATTTTCAGACTGACGGATCCGACTGTCGAAAGCTCGCTTTGTATGTGCTCACACGATCCATTTTTTGTGATCCGACTAATCGGATAGTGTGAACGGGCCTTAATGCGGGGAAAAAATCACTTGATCACGTTACATCATGGTTAACTATGGGATTAATCTTTTGCTGAACAATAATTTTCAAACCACAATAAAAATAGCACTAAAACAAGTAACTGAATTACGATTATGGCAAATCATTTACAGCTAACGAACATTCATCATACCTGTCAAAATTTTCGACGCGGCCAGAATGCTTTATGTTTGCTTCAGGAGCACCATTTCGTGTGCCACCTAGCCCTCCACCTTGATAGAAAGTCAGAAAGACGTAACTTATAGCACAAAAATATGAAATTGAAATATACCAAGTGTGTAGCAGCAGTCCCTTTCTAGCCCATAAAAAGAACTCACGAACTTATATGAGCCCAGGGCTAACAGATAAAAATTTAGGATACTAAAATACACGTTCCTACTTATGGCTTGAAATCCTTCCTAAAATTTAGGATTGACATTGATTGATTATTTCCTAAAACTTAGATTGATACCCCAATTATTTTACATTTTGTTCGCAGTGACAGTTTCCTTCCACTCGTTGATAAATAAATTTTTTCCAAAAATCACCATCTTATTTACCTAAACGTCGAGGTTTCCAGTTCTTCACTGTTCTTCCTCTTTCCACATCAACTACTATACGCCTGCCGTCAATCTTCTTACCGTCAGCATGTTTATAAGCGGCTACAATGGTACGAAACAACTAAGGACTAACTCAAACAAACACCAAAAAAACCAAACAACTGCCTAGTACATAGCTTATAAGGTAGGCAGGTGGATACACCGAGACCAGAAATCGACAACACTTGAAGATAAACCGACCAATCAACCTTACCCCATATTTGCTTACTGTAGCGAAAAATATTGGTAGCAAACATCGAGAAACAGCTTTGTATGATTTATTTCAGTCGAGGTTTGCATCACGTAGGCTGGACGGTAAAAATAGGTACGAAATGCGTACATGTGGGTAGCCTATCAAGTGCATGGCTAGTAAATGAAGTAGATTTAATGAATATAGTTCAAATAAGATTGCATATTTAATACTATTTAAATAAAACTTGTTCACGATTTGGAAATGTTTTATAGTTACACGACCCATATATTTATTTAACTCTTTCTGCTTTTTTCGAGACTGTAGCTTAGCTTGAATTCCACGTGACCGGGCTCAATTTATTTTGACGAACGCTGGATCGTTGTTGACATGCTTGACTTTTATGGTATAAAATATAATTTGTTTGGGATCAAAACCGAAGCTTATAAAATTTGTATAAAATGGCGCCGTTACTTGACTTATATCATAACCTGTAAGTCATTTCACACTATTTCGAATCACAGGTAAACGGAGAATATATAAGAGCCGCCTATCGAAAACACCGTCGTAATTATTCCGATATAGGTAAAATAAAAATTGCTTCTGAAGACAAGGGGAATACCTCAACTTTAAAATGGCAAATACTCCATACTTACAAAACACATATACTTACACAAACATGATTCAGAGTTCTTATTAACTTGTCCAAACTTTTCATTAATTCATTCAAAAAAATTATTCACTTCGAATTGAGTGAAATTGGGGACGACTTTTCCAAGGGGATATTTCAATACTTGGAGGAAGTTTTGAAGTCAAAGAGAAAGCTAGCATCGCCTATGTATATTCGAATGTATAATTTTTCATAATCTTATACTGTAGTAGACAAGCTTAGCTTTCAAAATTTAATCGAAATTGATCACATCACTTTCTATTTCGCAACACAGTGCTATAGTACGAGAGATTTAACATTACTTAGATTTGGACTTAAGTCAAGTGAAGCTACACTTTGTGCATTTTAAACACATTGTACGCAGTGCCAAAAATAGGGCATTGTAGGTTTGTAAAACAGCAGTTTTGGTGAGTGGAATTGAAATTTATAAGTTAGCATTGCAAGAGCTATTAAAACGTATTTTTCGTCATCAGAAATTTGAATTTTTGCAAAACTATTTGCCTCTTTTTGAGTAAACAATATTTTCTTTGTTTTAAAAGCATTCGAATGTAATACGAACCTATACCCACCAAAATACCCACCAGTTAAAATGAAACATTTCAAATGATCAAGTAGTGTTAGCCATGGCATAGGAGCGAGCAATCGTCTGTTGCCATTCACTTGGAAATATCGACAGTATTTGCACTGCAATGATTTAATAATAGCAGCATATTACTTTGATTGCATTGGAATTGAAAGTGTTGGAAACACAACCGGAAAAAAATGGTGGTAGATATCGATGGCATTGCAGTGAGAAAATTATTAAAAACGTGATAAAAAAATCGGATTTTGTTCCAACAACAGCATCGTACTAACCAGGCTGTGTTCAACGACTTACCATTACAGACAACTTACCACAACACGGTCATTTAGAAAAATAAACGATTTCGAAACTTTGCGCTCATTAAAGAACTAAAATTGTTCATTACAAAACAAATGGTAGAACTTGTAATGGTAGAACTTGTAATGGTAGAACTTACTATGCATGTCCCTTTCATGTTCAAACTCGACAAAACAATAACCACGAGGTTTTCCTGTTGTAGAATTGGTCACCATTTGAATCTACATGCGGAGAAGATACAGACAATCATAAAAATCACTCAAAGTTCTTATCCTTGAAGACAACTTATTGCTTTCAATAAGCCAAAAACACTTCCTTATAAAACGTCATGTCCTAAAAACAAGTTGACCATATTTTATAAACCGAAAATTTGATCTTCGTGCATTTTTTAGAGCTCAAAGTCGGTGATGATTTGCCTGACCTTAACATCAAAAAAACTAGGGCGAATGTCTAGATCTGACGTCATATCGGGAACCCGTTCTAAGAAAACACTGTATTTTACACATAATTTCCTCAAAAGCATAGCTATATTGTTGCATTTGCCACGTGTATGACATCTTGTGTCGTGGATGTTCAAATACATCTAATTTTAAACAAAACGCATCAGATGAATTCCCGATGTGACGTCAAAATAACATTAGTTGCCAGTTTTTATTCTGGCGGTCAAATAATGAAAATGGTCAATTTTTCAACTTGGAGTGCGAAAATATCCAGCAAAATCATATTTTAAAAGTACTCTGAACTATTTAAATGGCAGAAATGCAAAACACGATATAGGCACTTTAAGTACACTGACCGATTTTACAGGACCATAAACCTCCATCTCTCTCCAAGATTATCGTATCAAAACCTTTCAGATACATTCATAAACATACCAGGTCTCAAAACAACGACAGAAACGTCCACAGCCGCAAATGAATGAGATATCTAAACATGTCTATTTGGAAAAAACTCGTCTTTTACATTAAACAAGTATTAACGAAGGTGCTTTTACGCAATTATGTAAACATGTTTGTAGACGAGAAGGACAAAGTTCAAGTTGGCGAAGTCCTTAAAACGATTGTTGGTGTCTGAATAGGCTAACATTCCGACAAGCTGTGAGTAGTCATTTCTGAGTTAAGCAAGGAGTAACTTTTAGAAGTAATCAACGTTTGGCTATGAAGAAGAATGCCGCCAAATTTATCGGAATACCAACAGTCTATAAAGATCCTTGTAACAATACTCCCTGGTTCGAACATTCACTTTAGGCACAACTTGCACCATAGAAGGTGAAAAGATAATTTTTTGAGAAAACAAACTCTCCTGTTGATGTTTCAAGCTGTAAAGTTGTTACCATGCATCGCACGACTGGAGTACTTGGAAAGACGTAAAAATAAGGTAGGTCAAAATGACCGGTAACGTAAACAAACCGGTCAACAAGCTTTTTGGGGCGGTCATTGCCGTTGACCGACCGTTATAGTGAGCTCTCGATAACCTTAACTATACATACATGTAATGGTGGGTGTAAATCACTAAAAAAACCTGGTTACATACGGTATGCATATAACGAATAATTAAAACAATTAACAATGTACTCATCTAATTAAGGGGCTGTTCATATGAGCCCGGCTACACGGGATTCATCGAGGCGTTAATTGATTTTGAGGCATTGAAAGGGTGCAAAACTTCAAGCTTAAAGATTACAGCTGTTTGCTAAGTGCCACAAGCCATTCCTGTTGAAATTCTCAAATTAGGCCAAACTGGTTGTTTCAATTTTAAATGTTTTGCATACTTATTAAATCAAAATATAGTGAAGTTGCTCTAGAAGATTTATCTAATGACACATAAGAATAGAATTGTTTCCATTTGCCAAAATCAATTAACGCCTCACTGAATCCCAGTTAGCTGGGCTCGTATGAACAGCCCCGAAGTAATGCTCAACTCCTATTCCTAAAAAATATTGCTTACCAGTCTCCCAACAAATAAAGTTTTAAATGCATCCGTGACTGATTTTGTGTGAGGATCCCCTAAAATAATTAAAATAAATATCATACAGTGCGTAAATTTCACAGTTTTTATGATGTTGAGTTTTGTCCCCTCTTAGTGGAGTACAAACCACTAAAACACTAGTGACTTTGTCCATCTTTCGTGGAGTGTTAAGAGTCAGTGGCAAATGATTTTGTTGCATTGCCTGACAAATTTTGGTATTAATACAGCTTATTCCTGTTTTAGTTGACTTAAAGGCAATATAGTTAAGCTTTTTTTTAAATTATATTGGTACAAAAATACAGGTATGTTCACAACGCACTTCATTTTGTCAATGTTAAAGGTTCAGTGCTAAGTTCTAGTGAAAAGTAAACATCACATAAGATTTATTTAATCACTACTCTTCACCAACAGCCTGCAACATAAAATAAAACAATTTAGAACATTTATAACAATTTAGGATCAACTTACATTCTTCTGCAGCTTTCTCCAAATCCGCTTTGTTTTTATCAATTCTTTCACATTTCTATTTTCAAAAAATACAACATGTAAGCTGCAGCTCTAGTTAAATATTTTACCATCAGCCACCACCATCACTTATTGTATACTAGATATATATATATATTATGTTATAAATTAACAACTGTTTATTCTGACAACTGATCCTCTCACAAGTTTATTGAACTTCTTTAAAAATTTGTACGATGAGAACAGTGGTGGATCCAGCTCTTTATCTTATCCCCTTCATACAATTTTGATACTGACATGAATATATTAATACTAATTAAAGTTCAAATTTTTCTGAAATGTAAGCAAAGCTCAATACAACTTTTTGCCCTATCTCAAAAATCATAAGTCATAATATTGTTAAATAACTCAAAAATGAAAATGTATTTTTAAGATAAACTCTACACACCTTCAAGACTTTTTAAGCACTTGAAATAAAATGCAAATAGGTCTAATTACTAGCAGAGACATATTACAGAGAAAAGTAAACTTTATAAAGAAAACGTTGTGCTTTCATGACAAAATAAAAATGTAATGAGTACTATTAAAGCTGTGTATTTGATCTTTGTTTTTAATCCAGAGGGATATAAACTTCAGCTCTAAAATTGCAGTGAAATGCATTTACATTTTTATAATTTCCTATTCAACAATGTGATCAGCTCAGCACCCGCTTTAACATTCTCAATTTAGAATTCAGCTCTTTAGGGATAGTGTGCCTCGTACATATAGGCCAAAAGCAGGAATATTTTGAAACCGAATAAGGTTTTCAAGCTGTTACAACCATTTTTTCATTTAGTGCACTAAAATATCCTTATAATACAGACTTTGAGTTGGAACAATGATTTGTATTGAGTGAGATGTGTTTATTTTCAACTTTTGACCTGACAGACCAGTCAATAGAAATTGACCAATGAAGGTTTTCTTTGCTCTTTTGTTGACCAATTGTATTAAAGGAAAGTTTGCAAGCTAACCTACAGATCAGTCAAAGCACACTTAAAGTTGCCTGCCTGCAGACTGGTCAAAATCAATAACTGGCCAATTGAAAACATATTTTCGAGCTTTGAAGATTGCCGACAGGTCATACATTCATACAGAAACTACTGACCTCGCTGCTGAATACACCAAAGAAATGGTTGCTCCATTAGTCTTGCAGTAATGCGTAATATTATCGGATTTTGTACGAAAATGTTTTTTGAACGTAGGTAGTGATAATCTATGTTTGCTTTGATTTTGAAATATGGAACTTACCAATTTCACAAATTTTCACCTACTTCACTTGACTGGTTTGATGTACCAACTTAAAATTTACTACTCTGAAACCAAAAACATACCTTTCTTCCTATTTTTTCAACTCTAGTTTCTGCACGAGTTGGAGAAGGTGTATCTTCAGGATCCTATGAAAAATAAGTAGAGTCGATTTTACTGATAGCACCTGCAAACTTTTTGAAGTGATTCAGTTTTTTATAGATACCACATTGGCAATGTACCTTATACACAATCACATGTCAGTTGCTGAGGAATATGAAAATCAATGTCTCTTAGTTGGGGATTAATGTTGCTCAAAAGTTTTGCACATTCATTCAACACTAGAATTGCTGAGCTAAGCACTAGAATTGCTGAGCTTGGGCAGTTTTCAATGCAAGAAATGTGTGTGCATATAACCTTGAAATTTCAAAATAATATATGTACAATTAAAAGAATTAATATGTTAGCATTTCTTTGTATAAAAAAATCTTATTAAAATCACGCAAAAGCGAGCAAATCCAATTAAACACAATAGAAAAAGAAAGTTCATCAATTGATTAAATTAGACCTTTCCATTCAATTACTTTACAAATGAAATCAAAATTCACATTCTGTGTACTCAAACAGATAGGGAATAAGAATAACTTGTTAAGTTCAACTTAATGTAGCTGTCTACTTATATCATCTGGATTTATGACTGATTTAAAAACAATGAGGTACAATAAACAATAGCTATTATATGACTTTAAAAAATCAGAAAACCCAATCATATGAGATATGTACTTGCTGTCAACTTGGTGATATAAAATTTTGGAATAAGAAAAATATATTGCATCATATTTAATTTCTAGTACATCAAATTCTTGAGAAGCTTCACATGCAACTTTATTGAAAAATTATGTTGATAAACCTAAATATTTTTTTCATTTCAATCACGTGGTTTTCACAAGAACAAACAAGGCAGGGAAAATTTTAATACGTATATTTCCCTTGAACTGTGAACATCAAAGTTTTTCAAAAATCTTTGTATATCAGGTCGATTGCCAAAACTACTGAATTGTTTGTTTCGGTATAGAATACGCGATAACTACCCAATATTTTATAGTCAAATAAGGCGGTTTGCATTCTATGGACTATACTTCAACACATGTGAACAAAATCGAGATATCTGATTTTTCATTCCTCTAGTGTTCAAAACGCAACAACACCCACAGAGATGTTAAAATGTATTGCAACATTAAATCAACGACGTATTTAATACCTCGAAGTCAGCAACGATACTCGCAATTCCACTGTACGGCCAAGGCTTTTTCTGATGACCTAGTTTATCCAGAGGCGGAAGATATGGTATGGGAGGTCTAGCAGCAAATAATGCCAAAAGATTTGACGGTAAAAACGCGGTCATTTCGACTATAAAATTAAAATATTCGCAAACTCTGCCAGTTCCAACGAAATAAGAACACAATAACGAGTGAAGAAGTCAAGAAGTTAGGATTTCTATTGAGTTGGCCGGGTGGGCTCATGGGTACTGTGGGGACACCAGTGAACTGTAATATAAACTGGAACAATAACTCCTATGTAAACCAATATAAACTACGGTGGCCCGTATGTGCAATACACGAATAAATATGTAAGTGCGTAAAAAAATTATAAATCTCCAACAAAATAATCATAACACAAATCAAACTACTAGATACAAGTAAATAAGGTTTATTAAGTGTTAATTATTGAACAATACGCGACAAAAAGCTGTCAAAAACACTGCTAAATCTTTCACTTGCGTGAAATGTAGAATCAACTAAAATATTTTGAATACAAAATACAATGGCACATGTTCCCAACTAGGCTTGCTTTTAAAAGAACATTTCATCTGGTCGTCCAGCAACAGTTTCAAACCTAGACTTCCGTATGTAATGTGTGTTCCAGTGTAGTTGGACTGATGTAAAATCTGACTGAAGAAGTTCACTGAAGCAGAACCACAGACAATCTTTCTGCAATTGATTTGATTGGCAAAGTTGACCAATTTCAACAAGGTCTTTAAAAAAATTCATCCACCAACTGGAACGATTCTTGCGCAAATAGGACCACCAGTATTCAATGTGCTGATTAGAGGGTGAAGTGCCATACCTGTGTGATTTCTCACCAGCAAATTCATCTGCCCCATCACATCGAAAATACGATTGAATGGCAGCCAAAATTGTGTTTTCAGTTCCATTGTCGGTTCTAAGTACAGTGGGACAACCTCCAAACTCTTTCACAGCATTTAAAAAAAAGTGTCCAATTACTGCAGGATCATTGATAGTTCTGCAGACCTTAAACCACAGGACCTTGTGGCTGTAGCCATCAATGCACCCATGAACTGGAAAACCATAAGGTTTTAACTTATCATATCCATCCACGTGCCATGTATAGTTTGGGCCTGGGGTGTGATAAATTCGGCGACGAAGAGTTTTGGACTTTCTTTGTTGTACACCTTGAGGATCAAGTTCCTTTAGGATAACTCTAACGACATCTCGTGGAACCTGCATACCTTCAATTCGCAATGTATGCCAAACCGCACGATAACCGCCAGAACAGCCAGGACCGTCAAGCTCTTGCTAAATACGAGTTTTAACATTATCTTAGTTATAGTCAATTTTCTTTCGTTTAAGCCCAAGATAGTGAAGTTTTGTATTTAAGGTTCTCGAAGAAATTCTGATGCCATGGTATTGAGACAAAAAACAAAGTATCTTTTGGTAATCAAAGCCTTGTTTAAAGTAACGCTCTATAATCTCTTCGCAAGATGGATTTTCAGCGCGACTCTGACTATTCATTTTCCAAAATAAAATGCTTTCGAAATCGCTGCATTATACGCTGTAACTGTAATTAATCTAAGTAGTTTCTTCGTTTTGCAATCGTGATATGGATAAATGGCAGTAACAGGACTATTCGTAAAGTGTTCCCTTATGATCGTTGATGTTCACAGATGCGACATTTTGTTGTGTATTGAAAACGATATACTTGTGCATAAAGTATTTATGTTAATGTTTATATAAAAGGAGTTGGTATATTGTGAAATATTTAGTTGTGTAATTTCATATATTTATTCGTGTTTGCAGATACGGGCCACCGTAATTTAAAATATTTGTTTGCGTCAAAAGTTCACAAAATGACAAAACTTTGCATGATGAAGTGTCAAGTTCAAACGTTATCAATTTTGAAGTATCTCTGATTACTGAGATGTGGCAAAATTATTCAAAATTAGAGATTTCGAGATTAACTACTCTGAAATTCCTTTTTTAAATAAAAACTGCCCCTAAAATCTTGAGCCCCCCAACTTTTACTTGCTTCTCACGCCCCTGATCAAGTTATTTGTTTATACAGATCAAAAGTTTACAAATGACAAAACTTCATTAACCACGTTTCAAAGTTGGAACGCTGACAATTCCAGAGAAGCTCTTAACTTCATAAATTATAAATCTTTAATTTTTGAGCTATCTTACTTGTAAAAGGGTGGCTACCCCGTCTTCCTTTATGATTATTTCAGTTAGTTTGCATGTAAGTCAGGATGTTCAATAATTGAAATAAATAATAGTAAACTGTGAAAGGTTTATTTGCATAAAGCTTTTAAGTCAAAATTTCTTTGTTTTTACTTCAGTCATAGCTAAAATAAAAAATTTGCATTTCATATTTTATTGGATATAAACAGAATTCAATATTTTACAATAAAAATATCAGGTGATTAAAATCAAGCATTTATTAAACAGTCCGATTTCTTTATTATCAAGCAAAAGCAAACACATCATGTAGTTGGTTGCGTCGCTTTTATCCTTTTTGAATTTGTGAAGGTATGTTGATTTTAAAGTTTACTCTCCTTTATGTAACGGTGTATTCTAACATTCTGATTTAATGTTTTGTGTCCATGCATCATTTTTTTTTGTTTTGATGTCACGAATATTATAGTTAAATATAACTTATAAATTAGTGCCACGTATGTTTTATATGGATAAGTTTTCTTCATTTTGGTGGGATTTTCAAACACAGACAAATTTTGGATACATTACACGTGGAAAATACGACTTTTCTCACATCAATACCAGTTTACTCCAATCGTTTATTTCAAATTATATTAATACAGCAAAGTTTATTAAATTAAGGTGTTGAGTCAAAATAATGACACGTCAAAGAATGTTACATGTGCATGTCGTTAGGTGCAATAACTTTACTTTTTCTAACATGGCTTTTATCAAGATTTGTACAACATTTTATACAATATAGGACTAGAATATTTACATCGAAAGAGAGTATGAAGTTTATTACCTAGATATCTTATATTTCGCAAATTTTGCGTTAGATATCTTTGGAAAAATTAGTTGCAACAGATTTGCATGATCATTATCTTTGTGTCCTTTCTGTGTCTTTGTTGAAAGGCATTTTTGATATGAATAGCATTTGTTGATATCGATGGGTTTTTTAAACAGAGAAGCTCTGTTTATAGATTTTCTTATCTTCATAAATTATAAATCTTTAATTTTTGAGCTATCTTACTTGTAAAAGGCTGGCTAACCCGTCTTCCTTTATGTTTACTTCAGTTAGTTTGCATGTAAGGCAGTATGTTCAATAATTGAAATAGATAATAGTAAACTGTGGAAGGTTTATTGGCATAAAGCTTCCAAGTCAAAACTTCTTTGTGTTTGCTTCGGTCTTAGCTGAAATAAAAAATTTGCATTTCATATTTAATTGGGTATGAACAGAAATCAATATTTTACAATAAAAACAGCAGGTGATTAAAATTTAAGATTTAGTGAGCATTTCAATTTCTTTATTATCAAGCAGAAACAAAGACATCATGTAGATGGTTGCGTCGCTTTTAATATTTTTAAATTTGTGAAGGTATGTTGATTTTAAAGTTTATCTGTAATTGATTGTTTTTATGTAATGTGTCACAAATGACTTATATAAATAATTACAGTACTACGCATGTGTTATACGGACAACATTTGTCAGTTTTGATGAAATTTTTAAACAAACGGTAATTTATTTTGGACCATTTACCATTGTAAAGTACTGACCTTTCTCTGATTAATATAAACTACACACTTTAAAAGTTTATATTAAATGTTATATGTATGTAGAATCTACAAATTTGACAAGATGAGTCAAAATAATGACACGTCAAAGATTGTTAGATTTGCATGTCATTATGTGTAATAATTTTACTTTTTCTAACATGGCTTTTATTAAAACGTGTACAACATTTCACTTTTTTCATTCATTTGTTACGTCTTATACAATTTACAATTCTTTGGTTAAGCATATTCTGAATCGTCAACAAAAAACAGTCAACAAGATCTTAAAGATCTTTGGTCAATTTAGATGGTATGTCAACGTACAACCATTAATATTTTAGTGAATATAGGACCTGAATATTTACATGGAAAGAGAGTTGGAAGTTTTTTATCTAGATCTTTATATTTCGCAAATTTGGCGTTAGATAACTATGCCAAAATTAGTTGCTACAGATTTGCATGATCACTATTTTTGTGTCCTTTCTGTGTTTTTGATGAAAGGCATTTTTGATATGACTAACAATTGTTGACTTTCATGGGGTTTTTTAAACAATTACAAATAAATGTTAGATAATTTAACTTTGGAAAACACTGAACTTTTCAGCATCAGCGCTAGCAATACATTCCAACACTTCATTTCAAATATTATTCTAAAAATTCAATAAAATGTGTCAAAATAATGACACATCACAGGATTTCAGTTATGTATATCATTATACGGAATGATTTTAATTTTTCTGACATGACTATCTTCAAGAAGCACAACATTTTTTTCATTTCTTATTGGATTCTCTTGCTAAAAATCTTATGCATGATCAACAGAAAACAATTATCTTTGATGCATTTTAATTGATGTCAACATAAAATTCATTAATGTCGACACAAAATTAGGAAATTGAACGAGACTTACCTGCAATTGAAGTTCGATTGGGATTGTATTAGCATCTACAGAGCAGAGATTACACAAGATACTACGCATGCGCACATTGGTCATATTTCAAAGATAGTGGCCACATGAACCTCCTAAATGTGTATATGAACGATATGCAGGGAGGCAGTGACATGATGGGTGGGCGTGTAATCTCTGTTCTGTAGATGCTCATAGAATCCCAATAAAACTTCAACTTCAGGTAAGTCCCGTTCAATTTCCTAATTCTATTAGCATCTACCGCAGAGATCCCACGAGATTTGAAAGTCATGTGGACACACTTCATGCCTACAAACAAATACAACATTAAGTTATAAACATATTTTAATTGGAGATGTATCAAACATACCCAGAAATAGTAATAAATATGAATTTAAAGTATTTCCTTCTCTTGCACTATACATGCAAGTATATGTGTTCTGAAATCCCTGCCAAGTTCAACTAAAGAGAATTCTCATCCAATATCTTTCTTATTGGGACGTTGAAAGAAACGCATTCCCAAACTCCGCATCGCCACGTTGAGACACAAAACGCAATGAAAAAGGCAATCAGTCTTCCAACTTGCAGCTACCTAAATGTAGC